ACGCACACACACGCACCCACCCACACCCACACAAACACACACACACACACACACACACACACACACACACACACACACTCACAAACGCATGCACACACGCACATACACACACATACACGCACACACACACACACACACACATCTTCTAATTATCTTGAATTGCTCAACTTTTTGATGCAGAGTGTATTTTAAAACTTATATTATCATCTCCAATTGCAATTACGTCTATGGCGTACATAACATCAGACAAAAGAAGTGTTTGACCTTATTTGATGGATACCCTGTTAGATTCGAACACAGATGACATAATACCGTACTTACAAATAAAGCAAAAGTCAAACTACAGAATCACACTGAGCACAACTTTTGTCCTCCCCCCCCCCGGGCAGTGCCACTGACTGAAGTGTCTTTAGGCCATTCCCAAAGGGGGGATATTAACATGTTCTTATGCACAGTAGAATTGTATATGGAATGATTAATTATTATTGCCATGCTCATACTGTGCCGGAACAACATAGGGGGAACTGCAACTTTTTCTTTCCTCATCCTTACTATCGTCATTTTCCCTCTACTTCTTTTGTATATTTGTCACTCTTGTGAACTGCTATTTCCGGGATGCCTTGATATGCAAAGCAGACTTTGTGCTGTTGAGGCAAGAGAGGTGAGCAGAGTAAGCCTGATTCCCCATTTGCACTTCTCTGTTGACATCCACCTCTTGGCGCTCATGTGACCTATGCAGTTGCGATCGCTGTAAAACCTTACTAAAACTAAGCTAGTTTTACAGCGTCTGATGGGGTCACACAGGCTGCTCCTCCTGCCTTTATCAGGCTGTACTCCTTATTATATACTAATATATTCTAACATATGTTTGAGTGGTTTCCTAGTGTTTAGTTGATAAGCGGGTGCTATTGTGTGGTTTGTTCCTCTTTTCCCATCAAATATCTACTGATGTCGTCCTGATATCTCCTCCTTCTTTTTTGTGTTTTTTACTCTCTTGTAACACCTCTAATCTTCGGCACTTTTATAACCTTATTGTTTTACAAGTACTGCAAAACTCTTACCCTCTTTGAATATTACTCTCTTGTAATATGACTTATCTATGCCGTAAATGCCTTAAAACTCTTTCTTTCTTTGAATGTTACTCTCTCGTAACATGACTTATCTAAGCTGCAAGTGCCGTAAAATATTTGCTCTAACTAAACTTCCCCAGGGACAAGCCATCATCTTCACCATGGCCGGCTACGAGACAGTGTCTAGCGCCATGACCTTCACCTTGTTCCTTCTGGCCATGAACTCAGAGTGTCTCCACAAGGCACAGGCGGAAGTGGAAGAAGTTCTGGGCGGAAAGTTCCCGGATTACGACGACATACAGTCTCTGAAGTACTTGGATATGTGTCTCAACGAAGCTATCAGGATGTTTCCGCCTGGGTTCTTACTTGACCGTATTTGCAACAAAGAGGTTGAAATACAGGGGGTCCGAATCCCGAAGGGAGTTTGCGTAATGGTTCCCATGGTGTGTCAAAGATGAGGACAGCACTTAAATAACCTTATTGTGTTACAAGTTGCTTAAAACTCTTACGAAAACTAAAAAGATGAGTACAGAAATTATGTGCTATCATCATCATCAAAGCCTTCCACTCTGGCAGGGTATAGGCCACATATAAGCTCCTTCCATTATCTCTGTCCTGGGCCATCCTTCCTAGCTCGTTCCAATTGAGCTTCATCTCTCTATAATATTGTTCGGGTGCAGGAACAACTTTACTTTCAACTTTACATGTTCTGACGATTCTAGAAGTGCTTTTTGTGTTGCAATTGCCGTAAAACTCTTACTAAAACTTTTAAAAAACAACAACTGAAAAGCAGACTTGCCCCTTCTGCATGGGAGGGTATACAATGCCGTGTGTAGATCATTGTTCCCTCTTGCCTCGGGTTCAAGGATCCCTCATCACTTACTTTTACTTTACTTTTTTTCTTCCGCTTGTACCGGTGAGTGTCGCGGGGAGACACAGGCGTCTGTCTGCAGCAAGGCGAGTGGCCTGTAGGAGGGACATCCCTTGAGCTCTTAGGGCGTCTACCTCAGGTTCACTCCAACGACGCCTTGGTCTTCCTCTGGCTCTCCTGCCAGAATATTTGATGTTATATGCCCTCAGAGATGGTTGGTATCGGAGCATCCGTGTGAAGTGTCCGAAACACTTGATCCCCCTTCACAATCTCCATAATGCCACGTTCAGTAGGAATTGACAGGAATAAAACATGCAGTGACAAAGGTTTATATTTAAAGCCGAGTACATGAGCACAGTGACTTTTTTGTAAATCGTTAACCCTTTTGTCAACTTACTATTAAAAAATACTCTACCAACAGTGTGTGAGCGCATGTGTAATTTTGACTTGAGTTATTTACTTAAACATTAGTTCACATCATTACCCACTATCCCCGTGATCTTTACGAGCGTCGTTGCTTTCAACGTGTACATATATCTCATATTCTTTTTATTTTACACTAATCTGTCTTCATCGATGTTAATGCAAGCCAGACTGAAACGTTATGATTGTGATCTCTGATAATAAATTAATAACATTTGTATTGCGCATGTCCCCACTCGAAAGCAAGCTCTAAGACACTATATTATTACCCCAACAGACCATAGAACACTCAGAAACATTCTCAGCTTCCCGTGAAGCATACAATGAAAGCAACGGATTAAGCGCTCAAACACTAACACACTGACACGATCTTTCACTGTCTATAGCTGGGTACCCATTCCCACCTGGGTGAAGAGGGGAACATTCGTGTAAAGCGTCTTCCCCAAGGACACAACGTCGGCCCGCGGCTCGAACCCCCGCACCCACAACCTCACGATGGGCTCAACCTTTTCATTGCTGACTTGTCATAGAATAGGAAGTAGCTTTGAACAGTCAATACGTTTATTCACTTTGTTTGTTTGTTTGTTTAGTATAGGGTTTTACGGCGCTCGCAACTGCATAAGGTCATATGAGCGCGCGGGACACACCTAATACTTTTTAAGTTGGTAGGAAATTTTGAATTTTGCCCGGGTGGCGGTTTATTCAGTGTTCAAGGCCAGTGGCCCACATTACATCACACAAAACACTCATTTGATAAGTAAAGTTTCCATAATGAATAAGAACAAACAGGTTGTGCACATATCTCTTATCATGGTTCAAACATTGCATATTTCTGTCACTGGACTAGTCATATAATGCAGAGTAGCATAATACATGTAGCCTACAGGGGTGTGTACTGCATAGTGTACATCTATGGTGTACTGTCATGTGGATAGTCATTGAATAGCCTACATATTGACTTCCAAAGCGAAGGATCTCGAAAACTCCAATTGGAAAGAAAAACTTGACATCAAGATTAATAATTCTAGCATCTGCGTTGGCATTTTTTTGTCCTCGAATCACAAAAAACAACAACAACAACAACAAAACAAAATCAAACAAACAAACAAACAAAAAACAACCCGCCGGTGAATAATAAAAAATGAAAAAACAAAACAAAAGCATAATCAACAACAACAACCAAACTCCGAGGAATTCATACACGTATATCGAAAAAAAAAAAGAAACCGAACCTCTTTATCTTTAGAAAGAAAGTTAATTTCACTTCCGCTTCTCTTCGTCTCTTCCTCACTTGTTGACGTCACGTTGATTTGTTATTTTCATGTGAAGAACAAAAGTACATGACACATTATTTATTATATTGCTGTTTTTCTTTTATTTTTTTTCCTCTTTGTTGTGTTTTCATTTGTTAGTGTGTTAATTTTTTGGGGGGTTATTGTTCTAATGTGTTATTTTTCTATTTTTGTGTGTTTATATAACGAGGAAGACTGGGTGTCATGGTAAAGCAAACACATAGGTAGCCATCACTCGGAGAACATTGAGCGAGCGACGCTTCTGTTGCAAGTTCATGTTGACGTCCATTGTTACTTTGTTACAGACTGGGTAAACAGTGACCACTCACCTCACTCACGATTAGTGCATGGGTTGTGGGCGGGGCTTATGGGTTATGACGGACCACACGCTTCCCTCACCAGCAGCTGAAAAGTTTATTACTTCCAGTTGGTGGACAGTGGGAGGGGCCTATGCAATATGCATACAAACAAACAAACAAACAAACAAACAAACAAACAAACAAACAAACAAACAAACAACTTTTTGTGGCGTCGGTGGCCCAGTGGTTAGGATACCGGACTCGTAATCGTGAGGTTGCAGGTTCGGGGGTTCGAGCCGCGGGCCCGACGTTGTGTCCTTGGGAAAGGCATTTTACACGGATTTTCTCACTTCACCCAGGTGGGAATGAGTAATGGGTACCCGGCCGTAGACAGCGAAAGATCTCGTCGGTATGTTTGTATTTTAGCGCCTATAAATGGCAGCTCCCACTTTATGCTTCCAGGAAGTTGAGATTGTTTCAGAATGATCTCAGGTCGGCTGGGGTAATAGTATAGATTGTGAAGCGCTCTGATGAGTGGGGATTTGCGCAATACAAATGCTATCTATTATTATCTATTGTTTTTATGATTTGTCGAAGAGATTAACAAAAACGACAGGTGAATGGATTATGACGATGGTTTACAACGTCAAAGGACAATACAGAATTTATTATAAACCTCCGGGGGATGAGAGAGGTTACCCCCCACCCCCCACAGGGCAGTGCTCAGACTGAAGTGTCTTTAGGCCTTTCCCAAAAGGGGGGAGGGGGGGGATGTCAACACGTTCTTATGCTCAGTAGAATTGTAAATGGGCTGATTTATTAATGTCATGCTCATACTGTGCCGGAACAACAAAGGGGGAACTGCTGCTTTTCTTTCCTCATCCTTGCGTTCGTCATTTTTCCTCTACTTCTTTTATATGTTTGTCACTCTCTCTTGTGAACCGCTATTTCCGGGGTGCCTTGATAGTCGTAGCAGACTTTGTGCTGTTGAAGCTTGAGAGGTGAGCAGAGTAAGCCTGATTCCCCGTTTGGACTGCTCTGTTGACATCCACCTCTTAGTGAATGACTTCCCTGGGGG